GGTGTGAGCTGCAGCGGAGAGTTCCGCAGTTCCTGGACCGAGCTTTTGGGACCAACAGATGAAATGTGCCCCGGCAGCTAGCTCAAAACCAGGAATGCTTGCAGTTTCGCCTCGCTTTCCCCTTCCCTTTACTTTGTATCCTTCCCTAATAAAAGTACTTGAAACTTGCTACCTTTTATCTTTCCGCATGCTACTTTTGTATCCTTTTCTTGACTCAAACCAAATAACATTGCAATAGACCTTTTTGGGCTCRGGAGAGCCGTGAGCCCGRGGGAGGCGCCTCCAGGCGCCCCCCGGACCCCGAATCTGCGTTCGCCTAGACCGCGGATAAGGAAACCGCCATTTCAGACCCCCTTATCCACGAAAATACTTAAGATGGCGGATCGCCGCCGTTCCAATTTTATATTTTTCTACAACTAATTCTAAGWCTAACTGRCATTTCCCTTTTCTCGTTTTGGGCTCCTTCACCCGGGGAAAAATTAGTTTTGTTTTAAGTATTTTATCTTGCAGAGAAACAGCTGATTGTCAATTTGGCTGGGCTTTCCGCTCCTCCGCGGCAGTGCTCGCTCCCAATTGGACCCAGCAACCTGGGACCCACGGCGGTCGCCCGTGGGAGCCCCGGAGAGGGGGCCAGGCATGGGTCCCGGGCCCCGACTGGGGAGATACAGTTTCCCAAAGGACATTGCCCCACCATTTACAGCTCGGAAATCCTCTTCGGACTCTTTTGCCCTCACTTATTGACTTTCCACCTTATTGCCTTGAACTGTTTCCCTGCCATACTTTTGGATCCAAACCTCAGACCGGGCTTGCCTGGAGGGACAAGCGGCCTCAGCCTACATGCGCCTTCACCAAGAAGACTATGATTTCTACAGAAATAGAATGCATTTGTTGTTTTTAATAAACTTTGCTGGGATGGGGATGGGGATTCATTTATGAAATGTATGAAGTATATAAGATGTATATAGTGGGATATCATATGAAATGCACCCTGGTTCCCCTTCCCGCCTTTCCCTCTGAACTTCGCCCCKAAAAAAGGAATGTGACCTAAGATTACTGCAAAGAGGAAATCCTTTGTCCTCTCGAAACTGATCATATCTACATCTGCATGGGCCGCAGGATTGACCCTTCCTCAACTGGCTTTCAGAGCAGACAGCCTAGGGCYGGAAGGGTCAACAGAAACTTAGGAAAAAAGATTGATTAACTKATTTTCTAGGTATTTGTTGATCCCCCTTGTTTACAAGGCCCCGAGGTCCAAATACCATCAATAGCTCCTCTTTTCACCTTTTCATACTTCCTCCCAAATCCAATCATGGACCGGGGAAACTCATTGTTCCCCCTGTCTGCCACCCCGCCGGTGAGAACAAAGGCTCAGCGGATGCCCCGTGATCATCACTCATAAAAACACTGGAAAACAGAGTGTAAGAGACTTTAAAAGCCAAAAAATAAATAATACATTACAACGCATGTGCAAAACTACATATATACACATACACATACATACAAACACACACACAAAACTGGTCTATGTGGCCATGTTCCAGAAGCATCCTCTCCTGACGTTTGTCCTGCATCTATGGTAGGCATCCTCAGAGGTTGTGAGATTTGTTGGAAACTAGGAAAGCAGTGTTTATATAACTGTGGAATATCCAGAGTAGGAGAAAGAATTCTTGTCTGCTTGAGGCAGGTGTGATTAACTGTCCCAGATTGTTTCCTCTCTGTTGTTTTGCTGTTGTAATTTTAGAGTTTTTCAATACTGGTAGCCAGATTTTGTTCATTTTCATGGTTTCTTCCTTTCTGTTGAAATTGTCCACATGCTTGTGGATTTCAATGGCTTCTCTGTGTAGTCTGACATGGTTGTTGTTAGAGTGGTCCAGCATTTCTGTGTTCTCAAATAATATGCTGTGTCCAGGTTGGTTCATCAGGTGCTCTGCTATGGCTGACTTCTCTGGTTGAAGTAGTCTGCAGTGCCTTTCATGTTCCTTGATTCGTGTCTGGGCAATGCTGCTGCGTTTGGTGGTCCCTATGTAGACTTGTCCACAGCTGCATGGTATACGGTAGACTCCTGCAGAAGTGAGAGGATCCCTCTTGTCCTTTGCTGAACGTAGCATTTGTTGGATTTTCTTGGTGGGTCAGTAGATAGCTTGTACGTTGTGTTTCCTCATCAGCTTCCCTATGCAGTCAGTCGTTCCCTTGATGTATGGCAGGAACACTTTTCCTCTGGGTGGATCTTCATCTTTACTCTCGTGGCTTGTTCTTGGTCTTGCAGCTCTTCTGATGTCTGAGGTGGAGTCTCCATTGGCCTGTAGAGCCCAGTTGAGGTGGTTCAGTTCATCTTGGAGGAGGTGGGTTCGCAGATTCTTTTTGCACGGTCTGCCAAGGCTTTAATGGTGCTTCTTTTTTGACTTGGGTGATGGTTGGAGTTTTTATGGAGATATGTATCTGTGTGTGTGGGTTTTCTGTAGACGGTGTGACCCAATTGTTGATCTGGTTTGCGGATGACTAGGACATCTAGAAAAGGCAGTCTTCCTTCATTTTCTTTTTCCATGGTGAACTGGATGTTTGGGTGGATGCTGTTAAGATGGTCCAGGAACCTGTTGAGTTCTTCTTCTCCATGGCTCCAAATGGTGAAAGTGTCATCCACATATCTGAACCATAGAGTGGGCTTTTTTGTTGCTGTTTCCAGGGCTTGTTTTTCAAAATGTTCCATGTAGAAATTAGCTATGACTGGGCTGAGAGGGTTCCCCATAGCTACTCCATCTTTCTGTTCATAGAATTCATTGTCCCACTGAAAGTAGCTGGTGGTGAGGCAATGGTGAAACAGAGCTGTGATTTCAATGGTTTTAACCTGGATCACTATCTCTTTTATCCTCTGAGGTTTGATTCAAATCCATAGGATCCCATGAAAAAAAAGGTTTTAAATTGGTGTCAAGTCTCCTTTAATGTAAGGGGCTTTGGGCAGGGCAAGGGATCTCTTGGTTTTTGGATATTGTTTTTCCTCATTAAAAACAAAAAAGTAATACTGACCTTGTGATGAATGTAAGATGAATGTATTACCAGTTCTCAAGTTTCCACATGTGGGCTGATGGGGAGGTAGAATTCAAAATGGGACTGCTGACGATAGAAGAGGGCGATTCTCTACTCTTGAAGGGATGGTCACCCATGCTTTCTCCTCTGAATGTAATGAGGTTATACATTTCATAGAATTCTGCACAAGCAAATTAGCCGAAAGACAAAAGCCTCTATTCTATAACACTAATGTGATCTCAGTTAGTTGAAGTGCTATCCTAGTTAAGCACTGGGATTGTTTTGTTTTACTGCTAATATTCATTTTCTCTCTCTTCATCTCTTTGATCCATCTACACCAGGCATGGGAAAACTTTGGCCCTCTAGATGTTGTGGGAGTTGAAGTCCAAAACACTTGGAGGGCTGAAGTTCGCCCATTCTTGACTTAGGTGATACCAATACATTGAAGTTTATTTTATGGATTTTATGGATAATTTACATTTTATTCCTGTGAATGATTGTGTAGGCAGGGCCTTATGTTGGAATATCATAATGTTGTTAAGATGGCCCTGGAGAAAAGGACAGAAAAGAGGTGGAAACCTAGCATATTTCCAGCAAGGACTAGATGCAAACCCATGCATATGCAATCACAATCAAAATGGGGGAAAAAGTTTGATATTTTGAGGCAGTTGTATTGTTTTTTATGTGAGATAAAAGGGTAGAGTCTTGGTGATGGGTCCATTGGTGACTGTAGAGGCCTGTTCTTGATCTACATGTACCTTTTGCAATAGAGGACATCGATTTCCAGGTAGAAGGTGGTCCCAACAAGGGTTGTAGATGGTCCATGTTTCACAGGCATAGAGTTGGAAGAACACTAGCTTTATAAACAAGCATCTTGCTAGCCCTACAAATTACTACCAT